ACAAGTACAAGGTACTGCACCTGGGGAGGAAGAACCAGCAGCACACCTACAGGCTGGGGAACTCCCTTCTTGTCAGTGCAGAGGCCAAAAAGGATCTTGGAGTCATTATTGATGCCAAAATGAACATGGGCCGACAGTGTGGGGACATGGTCAGGAAGGCCAACCGCACCTTGTCTTGCATCCACAGATGCATCTCGAGCAGGTCCAAGGAGGTGATCCTCCCCCTCTATGCGACACTGGTCAGGCCACAGTTGGAGTACTGCATCCAGTTCTGGGCACTGCACTTCAGGAGGGATGTGGACAATATGGAGAGGGTCCAGAGGATGGCCACTCACATGTTCAAGGGGCAGCAAGGCAGGCCCTACAAGTGGAGGCTATCGGACCTGAACCTGTTCAGCCTCCACAAGAGAAGGCTGAGAGGGGATCTGGTGGCCATCTACAAACTGGCCAAGTGGGACCAGCAGGCAATGGGAGAGTCCCTGTTCCCCCAAGCACTACTGGGAGTAACAAGGAATAACGGCCATAAGTTGACTGAGAGTAGACTCATGCTAGATATCAGGAGGCACTACTTCATAGCCCAGGCGGCTAGGATCTGGAACCAACTTTCAAGAGAAGTGGTGCTCGGTCCTACCCTAGGGGTCTTCAAAAGAAGGCTAGACAATCACCTCACTGGGGTCATTTGACCCCAGCATTTTTTCCTGCCCATGGCAGGGGGGCGGACTTGATGATCTACTTTGGTCCCTTCCGACCCTACCAACTATGAAACTATGAATTAAGGTTTTTATCTAGAGCTAAAAGCAGTCTGCAGGGCTGTGAACTAGAAGAGAGACATTACCAGGAATGGCTAGCACACAGTGAAATTGCAGAAGAAAGGATAGTTTCATAGATTTAATAGACAACAGGGCTTGAAGGGATCTCAGGAGATCATCGAGTCCAGCCCCCTGCCCGAAGGGCAGGAAGTCAGCTGGGGTCATAGGATCCCAGCAAGATAAGCATCCAGTTTGCTCTTGAAGGTGTTCAATGTAGGCGCTTGAACCACCTCCGGTGGCAGGCTGTTCCAGACCTTGGGGGCT